CAAACAGATGGGGTCACGATATGAAATTCCCGTGATCTTTTGGTGTTTATCCCAACGCATCATGGGTGATTTATTACAGTCATAACACGAATTTTGCAATGTAGATATTTTACAGAAACCACAACAACACACTGGGAACTGTTCCTGCGCTTTATGGTTGTTTTTGAGCCTAACATAAACATTAAACTACCTTACGCGAAACATAAGTAACGAATAAGTTTTAAATATTTATTCGGATTTCAGGACCTTTCTGGAGGATTTTATGTATTTATAGAGTATGTGACATACGAGTAGATAAGTGAGTTGATAATCGTGGAACGCTTCGAATGAACACGCATTTATTTCATATCGGAACTGCATAGTAAAAGGTCAATCATGAGAATGTAGAGTCGCTATTACTATGATGATACTACATTACAATAACTCATCGTTTAAACTTTGCTCGGTTAAGCGGGAGATGCAAAGCGAGGTTTAATTAAAATCTGAACATTCTTTTTCGTGTAAATATGAAAACAATTCCTTGGGAGAGAGCTTTCAGGAACGTTGCATAGTTATAAAAGCTCAAATGTATGCAAGCGCTGTAAATAATGCAGCCGACTTCCCCGTTGCATCCTATGCATGCGAGAGTTATGCACGACCACAGTACCGACTTAAGGCCAAAGGCAAACTACGCGATTGAAGGACAATGGAAAAAAGCTGCAGAAATTCGGAAAATTGCAAGACTTATTAGGGGATAATAGAGAAGAACAATTACACCTGAAGTAAAATTAGTTTATAAAAAGCCTTTGGGCAAGGCTTTTTATAAACTTTTTACAAAAGGGCATTGGATTATTTAATTTTACGAAGGATAGTGAGTAATTTATATTTTAATTTTTGCTAGTGTTTATTTTATAATAAAAAACGTATATAAGGGTAAGGGTTTAATATTAATTGTTATTTATGAGCTCGCGTTAAATTAATATGAAAGTTTTTAGATAACTATAAAAATATAGTAACGTTTGTTTTAGTGACCTTTTGCTGGCAATAAAAATAATAATAGTTGCTCTTTTGTTCTTATATCTACATATTTTATTATCTTTTTGTCAGTTTAATTTGAATTGTGGAAGATAATTGACTGGTGGTTCTAATTATTTTTCATGTAAACTATTTCTTTTGCAGTAGTTATAGAAACATTTAAGTTATAGGGCTGTAATCAGTTAAATTGCAGGTTTAGTGGTCTATAACATTGTGAAATGACAGTTTATGATGGAGGTTCCTTATTTATGATGGAGGTTATTTAGAAAATTCATTTAAAAGCAAGAATGCGGTAAGAATTTAAACAAAAATTGGCGTGTCTAAACTCTCTTTAGAAAATAATTATGATTTGTTTTATTATCAGAGTAGATATCCATTAAAACACTTGGACTGTAATTATATTTTTGTCTTGAAAATTTTATTGTTAGCTGTAAATTTTTACCGGGAAACGTTAATTTCAGTATGTTTATTGTCGTTGCTTTTAATAGTGTCAGTTTTATTTGACTGAAATTAGAAAACTACATATTTAAAATAATTTATATTTTATACCTATTACCTAATCGAAAAACAATCGAAAAATGCTGAAGTTTAAAAGTTCATGACAACCTTTTTTCTATTTATTAAAGAGTGTTATTGCAAAATTTCGGCGAATCGTCCAGTTTGCGTAGGGCCTTAATCGTCCGGCAGCGGTAGCGGCGCGCTATTAGAAATGCCCGTAGAGGATATTGATTTCGATTTATTTTCCGTTCGTGACCGGCATCGGAATAGATTATCGCCAACAAGTGTGGATGCAGCTCAAGCCGAAAGCCTTATTAATGACCTTCATAGACATTTAGATTGGCTATCGCGATTATGGATTTGAGTCGCTTTCATCAAGGGAAATATAGGTAGGTACATAGAGAAAATAATTTAGAAGATTGAATGGGAATATAAAGTTATTAATAGCATTTAGTGAGGCAATTTATAGAGTGCTGCAATAGATGCAGATGCAATAAAAGATTGATTATGGGGAATATGGGGTGCCATTATCAATTTTACTAGCTGAGAGATAGGTTGAATACTGATATCTTAATTTATACATAAACTGCTTGTCGATTAACAAAAACTTAGAAAGTTATTTTAATTTTAGAAATATTGAAAAACAATTATTGTCACCGATTTATGTTTTGAAAACTGATATGAAGTACATTTTATAATATCGGAAAAGAAACACCCAAGCTTTTAAAAGAGTAACTGTATAAAATTCTTCTTCTAAAGTTGCTATTACAGCCGCTCCGTCTATATCACTCGCTATTGCGACCCCTAAGGCGGTCGCGTTTGGCGATTGTGCGATACCGCCAGATCTGTATCCAGCAAATTGTTTATAGATCACATTTCATTTGTTCAAACATTCCCCTTCCATACCACCTGTCAAAAAGATATACAGCGTGTTCTGAAAACGATCAGCGTGTCTGCGGGACGCCTATTGTTGTTGCTGTCAACTTTGTTGTTTTACGTTTTGAGTTCGACGTCCTTACGAAAGTGTAGAAGCCAGTAACGCATGAAAATTTACATAATTTTGTGTTTAAATGTAAATGTTATCGTCGATTAAGGTTTTTTTGGCCGGATTTTGGCATGTGTCTGGGATTCCTTAAAAATATTTCGTGTTTTTTAATCTATTTTGAATATAAATAGAAAATAATATAAACATATTAGTCGGTTCAAATCTTCATTAGTAGGTAAATATATCTCTAAGAACATCAAACTTATCCGTTACTTATAAAAGACGCGTTTTGCATAAAAACAAGTTACCAACTTTAATAAATAAAACTGCGGCTAACCGATTCCCCTAAAGTAGGTTTGATCTTGAGGCCGCGCTATTATATCAATGGCCACTATGATATCAATGGCGGCAATGATTGAATGCATTGCAGTTTTTGCCAACTTTCTCCGATTTGTGGTGTGAGCGAACTCATAAACTAGAACCATTACACACCAGTTGACCGTAAGAATAAGTAGAGTAAGTCTTCGAAGTGGAATTGTAAGTTTTTGTGATGGTTTCACTTTCAGAAACCTTTGTATGAGTAAAGTAGCGAGATCTGTAGAAATGTGGGGGAATTTGGAGCTCAATTTGCAATATTGTTCCATTGTAGGAAGTAGGAAAAAGCTGTAGGATTTAGTACAGGGCCGACGTTCTTGACCTATGGGCCCGTATTACGAAAGGACGTTACGAACATAAACTCGATACAAACTCAAAAATACATTCAAGCCTTTCAATTTATTAGGCAAATCTCAGGATAGACAGATGTAATGTGGATAAGGCTTAAGTTTTAAAAGAGTTTTAGATTCGTTTGAGAATGTGAGCCTTAGTGGATAATTCTGTGCTAAGATGGCAATTACACAGTATAATAATAATAAGTCATTTATTTCAACACATAGTCATAGGTTTAAGGTTACAGTTGATAATTATAATAATAATAAAATATTATTAATATTAGTATGTGGCTGAATAATTAAGATGAAGTAGTATTTTTGGTAATACAATTAGCCATTTTCATGCTGTTTACCATAAATTAAACGACCATCTGGTCGTTACGAGTGTATTGTTAACAACCTGTTTTAGTTCACACACGACTTAAAAAGTTGAGAACTACCTAACTAATTGTATATTTGTATGTAATTATCAATTTATTTCACAAGATTTTACCATTGCCTTTTGGAAGCCCAAATAAAATTGAGCTTTTAAAATTGCATTACAATTTTTGTATCATTAATTTAAGATGATTGTTATGATAATCACACGCTGATAAAAGATTAGTTACAACAATTACTTAGGTACTACTGAAGTAATAAAAGAAATAAAGTCTGTTCATTTTTCATTTCCCGAAAAATTACAAAAATTTATGAATCCTACAAACGGCAGTGTTTAAGCTTATAAAAACTGTCCCATACTCCCTGTACATGAAGCAAGTTAATGAATGAAAAGCTAATAAGCTTAATTACTATTTTTTATTGAATACAGACAAAAGAGAAGACTAATGGGAAAACTGTAATCACGCTTCGTATCCGGGTTACTCGTAGCTCCCTAGCGAAATAATAGGCCATAGCGAACCAGGCGACAATGCCGTGTTCTTGCACCGCCTCTCTCACCTATTCTTGTCTACGGTATTTGCATAGGCTCTATGAGAAACGACCCGTTCCTACCTTGCTAATGATTTATTTGTAAACCCACCTTGTAAATTACCATCGTTATCTGAATAAAACTTTACTGCAACCGTATTTCTCGTGACAAACCGTTGTCAAGAATAAAAAACATCTAAAATTGATTTTATTTTGTTCGCATGTAAATTATACGTTGTATTGCGTGCCCCATTAGCCGCATAAAAAGAAACTTGTTCACTACACAGAATTTAATTATAAAGCGATAAATTAATCCTACGAAGGTATCGGCAATAAAACATGTAAAACCCAGAGCAATTAATTAGAAACTTTTACAATAGAACAAGACAACATTTTATTGCCATTTTATAGATGGTCAGATCAAAACAATTTGCCAGGAAGTGGGCTCATTTGCATATTGGATGGAGTTTGATGCTATCGACATGTTGAAGAATAACAATTTGTATGGTAAAGAGGCATTGTTTCTTGCAAAAAAGAGTTTATTGTCAATCCCAAGGAATGCCGGCACACACTCCTAAGCGCTAATCCAAAGACGTTTATGAGATTTATATGAGTATTGAAGTATAAAATAGTTTTATTGCGGTCGTATATTTTCATAACTGCTTTCGTTGTCATATACAATAATGAGATTTAAATAATATTTGCATTTGAAATGACGTGATTGCACGAGTGATAAAATTTATAGTTTTACCTATCAGCGATCCTATCTTATTTCTGCAAGTGTATCTTGTTTTGCTTTACTAATGTAAAGCAAAACAAGTTACACTTGGCGGGAAGGCTTTAGGCGGGAAACACAGATTTAGCCAAAATAATGATTAGGTACTAACAATGTAGGGTACTTCCGGGTAGGCCGGCAGCCGGTCGCACGTGACCGGCGAGGGGCGGTCCATCTCGGCCTGCTTGCCCTCCGAGTAGGCCACGATGGTCCTCATGGTGGACAGCCTGCTGGCCTGCCGCCGGCCGCCCCAGCGCAGCGCCGGGTGCCACTCGCTCACCGACACGAACCAGCTCACGCAGAACACCGTCACGCAGGCCAGGACATACTTCGTCCTTATAAACTTCCTCGCACACAGCATCTTCCACTCTTAAGTCATACTTCCGCAATGTTAGACGTTAGACGCGCGTGCGCCGACGGACGCGGCCTGCGCGCATGCGCTCCGGGCGCCTCACCATCGCAGACTGCGCCGCACCAGCTGATACGCTATCAACAATGCGTCCCTCACGGCTAATCGTTCTAAACGCTTGCGGACGTGGAAATCTAGTTTTCTATACCAGTTTTTACCAACGATTCCTCTTTTGAAACGAGCTGAAGACGCATCTGAACGACCACAAAAACGTCAGATTGAAGCAATCTCAAGCGGAACAAGAAAATTTTATGGCAAAAACTCGACATACTCGTCCTTCTGGTGTAATTATTACGTAAGATCGATTATACAATGTAGCATACAAATTATATGGGGAATCGGTTGCCTAGGGCTTTTCATTGCTAAGAGTGTCGCTCGACCAGTTCACGTTCACACAATTATTATTAGAAAAAAAATATGAGTACTGTGAGACGATATGTAAAGAGGCAGGGTGGATTAAATACCAGTCAGAACACGATGAAAAATAATACAAAACTGTAAGTAACCAACAAATTGCTTGAACCATTCAAAACTGTATCATTTAAATTGAAAAAAAAAAATGCAATAAAATTGCGAAAACATTTCAACTTCAATTGCGAAACATTAAGAGCGAGACGTTATAAATATATGGAATTATATCAACGGCAAATAAGAACAAATGTACCCGATGATTATTTAAAAGACATGAGTCGTTGTTCCCTCGTAAATTACTTAAGACAATTTAATAAACACATCAAGTCTTAAACGCTTTTTCAATAGCTTCAGATTACATCGGAAGGTATTAATTTGGCGTGTAGTGTACAGCTACTGTGCGGCGGAGTAATTGTAGGTGGCTCTCTAGTCTAGGGCACCACAGTAGTTTAGCAACGATGTACCTATAATTTACTTGGCCCCACCATTGTTCGGGTGGGGTATTAAACATTTTCGTTAATACCGCAGCGAATTGGTAACTAATAACCAAGTTTAACGTTGAGACATAATTCATCAAGGAGACGAATTAAACATATAAATTTGCTTCGTGCTTCATGGTTATCAGTTTATGAAGAAGTAATTTTAATATAGGGGCATTACAATGGATGGTTGTATTGTTATAAATTAAGAAGTTCGAAGTTAAAGGTGTTCATTTTTAAAAATTGGTAATCCTTTATGTCAACGAACGACTCATGTAAATCTGGTAACATTTGAATAGAAACAGCATAATTTCGTGTTTATTTCTGTATTTCTTTCTGGATTGGTTTCATGAAAGTCTAGCTAGTGATGGAAAAGAAGTGAAGCATTAAATTACTTCCTCCGTTCCCACAAGGAGTTCGATCGAACGAAGCGTAAAAAGCTAATTGTCCAGCTGTGGTTGCCCTCCGATATGCAGACGGATTGTAATAATTGCAAACCAGACCATGAGATCTGTGGCAATAAAAATAAATAGAATACATGTTCAGTTGTTGACCTAAAGCTATGTATGATCAGCTGAGCTCTTATTTGTCCAATCTAAGCGCAATGCTGTGTTATTCCAATAATAGGAAAAAGTGAATCGGTACACACGATTGACGCGTGAATTTCGTCACCACTCGTGCCGTGCCTGATGGACTCTGGGTATCTACTAAGCATACAGAAGAATTGAAATAGTTCGTAAGAAAAAAGACATTTAGAAGCAATAGCTTGAGGTTGTGGGATGTTATACCTACTAAACTCTATCTATACTTACTACTAAACTAAGACTAAGTATGGCACTCGCTGCTTCATGATGACATAACTGTATTAGCGCGTTGAGTTTGAAGAGCAAAAAGAAAGTTATTCCAAATTATCCACGAAATAAAATAATAAGTTCAAAATAATTTCCGAATAGACAACGCGAAGACACCATTTTAGCCAAAACAATACCAATGTTTACAATGTCAGCACAAAGGGACGTAGATGGACACGCGCGGCATCTCAATTCCTGCTCGTTCCCAAACAAGGCAATTGGCCTACGAATAAATCCTGCCAAGTGTAGGTGGGCTCCAGGCACAGCAGGATTTGTAGACTAACCACGAGGTTAATTTAAACCCGCACACCGCTTTATTTTCAGCTCAACGTTCGTGCACGACGAAATATATGGCGTTAGATACAAGCTGTTACGAGGCGAAAGTAATTGAATTAATTGAACTGTTTTAAAATTATATTTGAGAATAATTCAACATTTTTGTTCTACCTTAGAAGAATTAGCAAAAAACCTAAAATCATTATCATAGATTAATCCTAATAGCCCCATAAACTATTTCTATAAGGAGCCCACAGGATATGACCCGTTATTCTTACCGACCGATATTTTTTATTTTATTTTTTTATTTATTTATATTAGGGAAACAAACAATTTTCATATACAGACAAATAATCACACAAAAAATAGGACAGAAATCAGCAAAGTTTCCACAGTTAAAATTAATACAGATTGCAGACTAAAAATTAATTGAATAGTAATAAATTATACATTAATTTCTAAATGTCAAATAAATACAATGTCAATTTTATAAAATGTCAAACAGTTAAATTTAATAAAAATTATAAAATGTCAAAAAGTTAAATATTAATAAAATTATATAAATTAAAAACACAGTAATTATGTAGGTCAAAATTAAAAGCAAGTTATATATTCAAACATTCTCTCAATTGTTTTTTATAAGATGGTAAGGAAGAATTAAAAATGTCAATCGTGTTAAACCTATTATTATATTCCTTACAAGATCTAGGTACAAAACTGTTGCTAGCATAATTAGTCCTAGTGAGAGAAATAGAAAAAAGTTTTGTATATGATGTATAAATTAAAAATACAAAAATTCCCGTCATTTTTCTAACGCGCTAACCATCTGGAAGCTTTACAGAAAAAAACATGATTAAAAGCATAATTACGTGTAGGCGACAGTGAAAACTTATCAGCTGGCCCGACTAGTTTGTCCAGCTCATTAGAAAAAAGCTTGAGTTTGCATCACGAGTCGTCACCTATCGTATATGACGCTCTATGCCTTGCTAGTTAGTGCGAGTGTCGCAGTATTGAAATGCAGCCTTTATCGTAGCGTGCGCATCTCGTTCGTTAGTCGCGCACCCGCCGCGGCCAGCCGAGTATTGAACCCGCTATCGGCGTTAGAGACGCAATAGCCAACCCTAGGTTTCAATTCCAGACCATACCACACATATCTTTAAAACCCTTCAACTCTTTCTGACCAACACACCTGTTGAACGGGCGAGGGAGACAGCCGATCATAGAATTTTTAAATTCATCTCGCGTGCTCTAGAATCGCGGCCCTATATTCCAGCTTTTTATTTCGCTTGTTTTTCCGTTTTTTTCTCACATTTTCGAACACCAAATGACAACTTCAACCGGCCCCCAAAAAATAAAAAAATCAGGACGAAAAACGAAAAAGTTGGTGTGTCAAAAAAGGCCGCCATTTTGTTTTTTAGTACAAAAAATCTGATAAGCTGCGTGTTGAAAAATCTAGTTCAAAACAAGTGCTGTTACTCGTACCCTTTAAACGTATGTGTTGACTAATTAGGCAACTCGAGTTAAGTGGAGATTACTTAATCTAGCCAGTTTATTTATTTCTGTCTTTTTAGTTAAGTAAAATGTATTCGTAGGAGGTTTTAATTCTGCGCTTCTAGTGCTTGGATGTCGTTTTAGATTACGCTTAATTAATGTTAGGCTGAATTAAGGAGTAGGTTTTTTATACAGTACCTGATGAATAGTACGAGTTTAGTTACTCATTTATTGGCTTAATTTTTCACACTCAATAAATGTTAATTACGGTTTTGTTTTTCTTGTTCAGTTTAAAACAAGTTTTTTCCATCATTATAACATGATTAAGCTTTATTTATTTTTTCAATAAAACAAATAGTCTCGAAAATGTGATTCGATTAATTATTCTGGCCACGTGGCGTTCGTTATGCTTGATCAAGGTTAATGCGATAACGCGGGGTTGTCTTTAATGCCTTAATTAGCATTCATCTTTCGTTCATGACTTTATAGTGAACATTAAATCGAGTGGAGTGGTTAATAAACAATCAAACTTTATTATTATGAAGGCTCTCCCAACAATGTAATCAATTGCAGCCTAGGAAGTAGGTAGATCCACGGAGCTTGGCGCCGCTAGCGCACGATTTTGCTCTAATTAAATAGCGGGTGTAAATGGCACTATACAATAACAGAAAATATTATTTATGAAGCATTAATAATAAACTTTAACAGAAGAAGCGAAGGTTCAAATTCCAGCTCCAGATAGGAAGCCATGAAAATTAATTTCACCCGTCAAAATGTCGTACAAGCTTTAAGGCCGGGTAACAGAGAAAATGGCGAAAATGAGGTTTTCATTTTTCATTTTTGAGGTACTAAACAGTAAAATAAAAGGCTAAGATTTTTTTTGAGCATAGTTGAGGATATTTTCTAGGGCTATTAACGGATGGAAACACGATTTGATGAAGTTGACTCGATAGAATAAATTCCCAAAGTTACCTCTATTCGTTTTCTAATAATGGTTTTATTTTTAAAATAAGCGATTTGAGATTCTGAATCTTTTACTAAACTAAAGTTCAGAAATAACTTGAGGGCTTTTAACGGATGAAATTTTTATATTGCGTCTTATTTAGTTACTATGTTAAAAAATGTGGAAAAAATCGCCCATGACGGCTTGGACAATCTCAATCAGTCGCGCGGTGGCGCTTACGGAGGACGGACGCGTGCCAGTTTTTTGGACGTGACAGTTCTCGATTTGTCAATATTTTTGACAATGATGACTTTGATGAGTCACAGTATAATAATACCAGTGTTACTGGAGAAAGCTAAAATTTTTGATATTTAAGAATTCTGAATTTTGTCTACCTATTGAAATTTAAATCNGGCGCAGAACTTCCAGAAGGTCGGGCGACGCCACGGCCACTTTGAACAGTGTTTACTTCTGCAGTTATATTTTATATTTATTCGATTCTAGAATATATTCCCAAAAAGTCTGAAAGGTGTTTTAATTTGTATCACTTGGATATGACTATTAGAAAGTGTTGTGAGTGTGACGCTTGAAAGGAAGGAAGTCAACCTAACCTAACCAACTGCGTATTTCTATACTGTGTAGCTGGAAATTGTGGCGGGAGCTCTTTGACGCGCTGTTTTCGGCGAAGAATTGCGCGCGC